CAATCATCTCATTTAATTCGACATAAAAATACTGCTCATTTAAACGTGAGATATGTATGCGATTGGAGTGAATGTCACAAACAGTTTACACAAAAAGTCGGCTTAAATAGACACAAAATAACATCTCATTTAAAAAGTAAAACATTTAAATGTAAAGAAAGAAATTGTGGCAAAACTTTCGCCTTAAAATGTAGGCTAAATCGACACAAAGCCATACATTCGATCGAAAAGCCATTTGTTTGTCATTATAATGACTGCGAAACAAGTTTTAAACGCAACTCAGATCTACAAAGACATAAAAAAAGACATATGAATATAAAGTCTCATAAATGCAATGATTGTAATCAAGCCTTTTTCACAACTCGTGAATTGAATAGACATATAAAGCGTAAACATTTAGCTCAACAATTATTTAAGTGTAGCGAAAAAAATTGTGATAAAAGTTATGGATATAAATACGATTTGACAACACATTTAAAATCAGTTCATAAAATTGTATAAATTACTAATATTAGATTTAAATCGTAGTTTGTTCAAACATTTTAAGACCAATCGCTCTACGAGATTACCATCATAGACACGCCTAACCTGGATAATAATCCAGGTAATGGCACCGATCTATTTGCACTGATCAGAAACAATCCCAAACTCTCGTCCATTGACTTTGCAATGACAGGTCTGTCGGCAATACCCGCCAATGCTTTCAATGGTTTGAATAATTTACAACATATTGCTATTTATGACAAACAGTTGACTACTATTGCCGATAATGTTTTCTATGAGGTAAAGGAATTAACCTGGTTGATTTGCACAGCAAACAGGTTACGTATAAAATATTTCGTTTGTTGACAATACAATAATATGTTTTCAATAATAATTATTTAACATACAGAATACTGTATAATGATACAATACTTGTCAATAATACTTATTTATACAAATGCCGATCAATCACAATCACAATTGTGTTATAAAATTATATACGGTATTAAATAAATCATTTTAATAAAAAATTCATTTTAATATTAAACTTATATATTGTTAACGATTCAGTTACTGTGTATTTAAAAACAAAAATGATTTATATGTTGAAATACACTTCAATTTTAATTATATGTATAATTACTACGTACCTATACAAAGGGTCGCCTACATGTCCGGAACCCAAATTACTGGAGCCGTGCAGTTGTATGCTTACGAGTGACAACTATTTACAACTGGATTGCAATTACATAACAGACCTGAAAGGGTTGTTCGCAAACCTGAGCCAAAAGTTAAGCTCAAATCAAAGATTTTTCAAACGCCTGTTCCTATCAAACACTAGACTTAAGCGAATCGATGCCAACAGTTTGGGAGACATAAAAATTTCCGAATGACTACTATCATTAAATCACTAATGACTACTCCCTACGCCATATCGACACCCAGACTTTCAAAGGCCAGGCACTCGATTATATTGCACTGATGAACACGCCAAACCTGGATCATAGTCCAGGTAATGGCACCGACCTGTTTGCCGTAATCAAGAATATTCCGTCACTCGAGTCCATAGAGTTCAGTGGGACTGGTCTGTCGACAATACCCGCCAATGCTTTCAATGGTTTGAATAATTTAAGAGAAATTGAAATTTATGACAAACACTTGACTACTATTACCGATAATGCTTTCTATGATGCGAAACAATTGATCAAGTTGACTATTGGATTTACAAATATGACTCAAATACCTCAAGGCTTACTGCAATTTAGTCCATCGGAAACCACATTAGGTCTTCAATTAATAAGCAATGCATATGTAAACAGTAAGTCATTTGATGGCCTGTCGTACAGCCATTTGGGTCGACCGGTGCGGCTCGTGATCACTGATCCTGGTTTTGAAGCTGAAGACAAGCAAATGTGGAGTTATTTGTCTGAGAAGACATTCAAAGGGTTCTTCACATGCCATCCCAACAATACATTGAGTATACCTTATAATCAATTCAATTGCTATGATAAACGCAATGAATGGTTGATTAAGGACCCGGATATCAAGACAAGAATTTATTGAGATTTTATTAGAAAGCAAGCCATTTGTTCGCAAGTTATTTGTTACACTTTAGGTTTAAACCATTGATTAATAATTGTTTAAATAAATAGCAATTTAAAAATATTTCCTACATTAAGCTGACACCAAAAAAACAAATTAATAAAATTCGTGTTGAATAAATAGTACAGATATAAATATTTAAATCACAAATGTTTACAAATTTTGTTATTAATTAATTGATGTTTAATAAAATTTAACTTTGATTAACATTTTTAAGGTATAAAAGGTATAACACTGAAATATAAACGGATACTTTCCCGGAACAGTGTTATATTTCTATAGAAAAACGGAGCATGCTTAATGCTAAATACAATGATTAAATTGTAGTCAAATTTGCTTGTAGTTGTATATTTTTTGAAAAAATAATCACGATTGTTTTTATTATTGATTAAAGGGTTTACTAAAAGAAATATAATTTTTAATTGAAATTTATTTCAATATAAATATAATTAAATTGTTTGTTCAGAACTTCAATTGATATGAAATAAATTCATTGAAATATTTACTAATTATTCTGATATAATGATAGAATTGCTTGATAAACAAATGCTGATAAATTAATAGATCTTGTCATGAGGTTATGCTAAAATTATTATTTTATAAACACTACACTTTAAAAATTGAAGCTATTATTATAATTTTATTATCAAATACGGTAGTATAACATGTATATTGAATTAAGATATGAATTATTTGTATTATGTATCATTACTATGGGTGCGTGGGTTGAAGCAACAACTTGTCCAGGAGCCAAACTACTGGAGCCATGCAAATGTGGATATAGTGGAGAAATATCCTTGCTAGAATTGGAGTGCAATCACATAACAGATCTGAAAGGGTTGTTTGCAAACCTGAGCCAAAGGTTGGCCTCAGATCAAAAGCATTTCAGTTACCTATACCTCGTAAACACAAATATCGAGCGAATCGATGGCAACAGTTTGTCGGACATTAAGATCTCAAGATTTTATCTCAAATACGACCACTCCTTACGCTATATCGACGCCCAGACCTTCAAAGACCAATCGCTCTACGAGATTACCATCATAGACACGCCTAACCTGGATAATAATACCGATCTATTTGCACTGATCAGAAACAATCCCAAACTCTCGTCCATTGACTTTGCAATGACTGGTCTGTCGACAATACCCGCCAATGCTTTCAATGGTTTGAATAATTTACAACATATTGCTATTTATGACAAACAGTTGACTACTATTGCCGATAATGTTTTCTATGAGGTAAAGGAATTAACCTGGTTGATTATTGGCTTAACGCAATTGACAAAAGTACCAGAAAGTCTATTGAAATTAAGTCCGTCAACCAAACAGTTATACCTTGGATTCATCGGTAATCCATATTTAAATAGTAAGTCATTTGAGGGCCTGTCGTTCAGTAATTTGAATAGACCGGTGCTCATGTTTGCCACCGACAAGTACATCTGGAGTGTATTAAAGTACCCACATCGTGTAAACAAACAATTGTGGAGTTATCTGGATGAGAAATCATTCAAAAGCTTTTTCACATCCCATCCCAAACATGATTTGCGTATACCTTTCACTCACTTTAATTGTAACGATACTCGCAATGAATGGGTGATTAAGGACTCAAATATTAAATCCAGAGTTTATTCAGATTTGGGGGGAAGTAAAGGGATTAATTGCTAATAAAAATAATGTTATTAATTATTTGGATAGAAAACATAAATTTTGTTTTATAATTAGCTGTTATCAATGAAAAAGTTGTATAAATAAAAATTTTGAAATAATTGTTTATACTGTAATATTTGTCCTGAATAATTAGATCTATGCACTGTAGTACATAGTATGTACATTATCAAAGTTTTAAGATTTATAAACCTAACTGTGGAAATATAATTAAAATATAATTAAAATATAATTAAATTATAACAAACATAATAATATTAATAAATATAGTGTTTGCATAGCATACAGGTTATGTATAAAATATTTCGTTTATTGACAATATAGTCATTTGATTTGAATAATAATTATTTAACATACAGAATATAATGATACAATGCTATACTTGTCAATAATACTTATTTATACAAATGCCGATCAATACAATTGTGTCATAAAATTGTATATTAAATAAATCCTTTTCATAAAAGATTCATTTTATTATTAGACTTATATATTGTTAACGATTCATTTACTGTATATTTAAAAACAAAAATGATTTATATGTTGAAATACACTTCAGTTTTAATTGTATGTACAATTATTACATACCTATGCGAGGGGTCACCTACATGTCCGGAACCTAAGCTACTGGAGCCATGCAGTTGTATGCTTACGAGTGGCGACTATTTACGACTGGATTGCGATCACATAACAGACCTGAAAGGCTTGTTTGCAAACCTGAGCCAAAAGTTAAGCCAAAATGAAAAGTTTTTCAAACGCCTGTTCCTATCAAACACTAGTATTAAGCGAATCGATGCCAACAGTTTTGGAGACATAAAAATGGCCGCATTTTTCATCAGAAAAGACCACTCCCTACGCCATATAGACACTCAGACCTTCATAGGTCAAGGACTCGACTATATTGTCCTTAAAGACACGCCTAACCTGGATCATAGTCCAGGTAATGGCACCGACCTGTTTGCCGTAATCAAGAATATTCCGTCACTCGAGTCCATAGAGTTGAGTGGGACTGGTCTGTCGACAATACCCGCCAATGCTTTCAATGGTTTGAATAATTTAAAAGAAATTGAAATTGGTGACCAGTTGACACTTATTGCCGACAATGCTTTTTATGATGTCAAACAATTGACCAAGTTGACTATTAAATCTACGTGTATGATTCAAATACCTCAAGGCTTACTGCAATTTAGTCCATCGAAAACCACATTAGATCTGCGATTAGTATTCAATCCATATGTGCACAGTAAGTCATTTGATGGCCTGTCGTACAGCCATTTGGGTCGACCGGTGCGGCTCGTGGTCACGAATCCTGGTTTTGTAAGCAAACAAATGTGGAATTATTTGTCTGAGAAGGCATTCAAAGGGTTCTTTACATCCCATCCCAACAATACATTGAGTATACCTTATAATCAATTCGATTGCGATGATAAACGCAATGAATGGTTGATTAAGGACCCGGCTATTATGACCAGAATTTATTTAGATTCTTATATGAAACGGTCGCTTAATTGCTCCGAATTTACTGGATAACAAAATTAATACCCGTGCTTTATTTCCAAAAATGTTTTAATCAGATTATATTACATAAAATAACAATTATAATTATTTGTTACACAAAAAAAGTTTAAACCATTGATAAAAATGTTTCTTATAAAAATTATAGCGATAATTAAAAATGTATAAAATAATTATGTAATTATTTACCGGTTGTCACAAACATTATTGAAAGTAAATATGTATGGCAATGATTAAATAAAATAATTACACGATTAATGATTTGTTAAAAATATATAATTAAAGAAAATCATTTTAATCAAAACCTATTAAATGCAAAAAAGTGATCAATTTATCCAATCGTCTTAATATCTAATCCAGTAAAACCTATAGAGATTAAAAACAAACCAATTAAATTGATGACAACATTTATCATTATAACTAGTAGTACCAGGGCCCGTTATAGGCAGTCCGGGCCAATACCAGTGAGTCGTCATCGGACACAAATGACCGGCACCTAAGTCACAGCCACAACAGGTAGTGAAATGCCTAGAGGAGCTCACGACAGTTGCGTAACAGAAATAGAAGTAAGTACGGTAAGTAATTTGACTACCGACAAAAGTTAAATGAAACGATCTCATTCAACATTTCCACAGCATTTGTCTCTCCATTATTCACACCAAATGTATTAATCAACGAATTCTGGGATTCATTTCCATCTGATTTAGACTCAGAGTCCGCACAACTGTTTAATACCATCAAATCAAACAATTATTAGATAATAATGAGTGAAATACAAGTTTTAAACCTTATGTTCAAAGACATCAACTCTTGAGTCAACTCTTTGTTCTCACAAATCATTGTCTCGTTTAAAGCCTTCAAAGACATCAACTCGTGTCTCAAGTCTTTCACATCTTTTACATTCATATCATTCATGTCTTTCATGTCTTTCATCGCTTCCCTCAATGTCTTCACTTCCGCCTCAAGTTTCGATGCCTTCAAAGCCAACAACTCTTCTCTCAAACCATTGCTTTCTTTTGCCTTTTGGTCCAATTCTTGGCGCATACTATGAATACAAGTGATTATCACATGTATTGCCACACAAATGGACACAAATGGCCACAAAATATGACACAAACCTCGACTTCAAACCATTGAACTCCGGTTTGAATACCGGAGTGATGGGGCCGTCAGTGAAAAACTTTTCGACGCCTTTCCCCCAATCATTCATGTCTTTCCAGAAGTTTTTATCCACTTTATGACAAAATCTATGAATAAAGATGAATACAATTAACTTAAAAGTCATTTCACACACAAATGTATGCATCAAATATGAATACCTGTCCCAATCAGTGCGAGCCATAGGTCCAGCCATTGGTGACAACTTTGTTTCGTTGATTCACTCAAACAATTCAAATGTCACACAATTTTCTAACCAATGGACGCAACAAATGGTTAATCGATGGCTAATCACATGAAACTGATGTGTGTTTTGAAGACAGCCTTTCCGGAAACGGATAACACATTGTGTTTAAGGATTGTTAATATATTACATATTATGTCATAAATGGGTTCATAGGAAACCCTTCCCAAACATTCATATTATCATAACATATTCACAAAATTGAATATTCCCAAATTATTTAATGTGTTATAAACCATACAGAATATACTTGAGTAATAAGTTACTTTAAGTAACTTTATAAACTGGCGGTATTTTTAACATTTACACCAATTTTACAATACAATTAATTAATTTAATTAAGCCAATTAGTAAATTTTTAAAAATTAATCAAATTATGGCAATTTATTCAATGAAATTCATTGAAATATTTGTGGCGGTATTTTTAACATTTACACCAATTTTACAATACAATTAATTAATTTAATTAAGCCAATTAGTAAATTTTTAAAAATTAATCAAATTATGGCAACAATTACTACATTTGGCCTATGTGCTAATTACACGTTTGGTAAAAAGTTAATTTTTAAAAATTTAAACTTAAAATTCACAATCATTTAGACTAGCAATCATTATACAGTATATGTCATATATTGAAGGACTATTTGGTCTATGGTTTGGCACAAATGGCAAAGACTTTATTATTTGGATAATTGAGTCGATTCTGGGTTTGAGTTTATAACTTTATACCGCTAATAAAGTAATTGTGTTTATAAGTTCACTACTTGTTAATTAAAAATACATGAAAATTAAAAAGTAATACTTTAAATTTTATTTTTTAACAATTCCGTTTTATAATAAATATTTAGATTCATAAATCATACAATATTTTATATAAACTTACTATTCATTAAATATATAATAAGATTAACAAGCTTTAATTTGTAAACATTTTTAATGCTAAATCAAATTTAATATACAGTACAATTTAATAATGTTAGTTGATATGTTTAACAATATTAACTTATTTTAATTTCAAAGTTTTGGACATAGTGTGTATGCTATTCGTGTTATTAATGTAATAATAATTTATCAGGTAACGAAAGCAAAAAGTGGTGTATAAAGTTGCGTAAAAGTAAGTAAAGTAAGTTACTTTTCATTTTTGTCGACTTTTCCATTGACTTAACCGCTGCCATAACACCATCACACACACTACCGGCGCTAACGGCCTGACCATCAGCACTGGTATGCAGCGCCTGTACGCTATCATTACTGTTCACCCACTGATAGACTCTCACATAATCGACAATAAGTGCCGAACAGTTCCAGTCTTTGTAGTCATTATCACCCAATACTTGGTCGGGAAATACATGTTCGCCGCCCACACCTAACAACATACCCAACCGGAAGGGCCTATCAAACGGCTGTCCAATTGTATCAAAACTATCGGACAGTTTTTCACTCAAATTAAACGACAAATAATTTCTGTCGTCGAAGAACCAATCGATTCCCGATTCACTCCATACGATGGTATAGGTGTGGAAGTCCTGGAGGTTGTCCTCCACCTCGTAATACC